TTAAGTCTTTAGTTTCAGGGATTAAATCGCCTATAGCATAATTATTAGTCGATATTTAGAGCTGCTATTAAAGTTTTATATCTTACCAGGATACGTTAACGTGACAACGGCATCCTCATCCATCTTGAAATGCTGCAGACAGACCATCTTCTTGGTTACATCATTGGGATTTGACAAAGGGGTCAATTTCCATTTCAAACAAGAAAAACTGAATAAGTCTGAAAACCGGCGAAACTTTTGATCCTCAGGATAAAGAACTTGCATGCAGACACAGCAGTAACCATCGGGCTTGAGCATTGTAAACTCTTGGAATGAATTAATTCGCTTTTTTTGAAAAGCATTAAAGGTAGATAAATTTGGGTCTTCGATTCTCCAAGAGAAAAACATGATAGTTTAATATATTGTTGAAGTCATTACCTGTGTTTATAGGAACAGTATTTATTGAAAAATCCAAAAATCCAAAATAGAAAATAAGACAAAGTATTAACCAGATTGCAAAAAGAAACTAAATTTTATTGAACATAAAAATAATGATTTCTTTTATACATAATGAATACAACTAAAACTACAAGCGGGACCCTGCCATCGTGGGTAAATTATATCCAAATATTGTTCAAGCTGTCAATAAACCCGCAAGGAGCAGTAAGGAGAATATAATAAACAACCCGTACTTGAAAAGGCATTTGGTGTTACGTGAACTCTGAAATTACCAGCTGACATATGATAAATATGACAGCAGTGAGAATACTTCAATCGTCGTAGCACAAGCGTATTACCTTAGCTAAGGTGTATCTACAGCTCGCATACAACATTTATATTCGTTTTTAAACACGTTCGTTAACTATATTTTTAATTCAATAACACCACTACAATAATTTTCAGATGTGATTCTTTTTGATTGTATTTTTGTTTCCATTTTAAAAAAAATAGATTTTACTTTGTGAAATAATGGACAACGTGATCCAAGTGAACAAAAAAAGCGCATGGCTTTGTCACCTGAGATTACAAAAAAAAATACAAAGCCATTTTAAAAAACAATTCGACATTATAAAAAAATGATATTTATTATTGGAATAGCGGGAGAGGGGGAAGTGGGAGAAGGTATTAAATAACTTTTTTTAAAAAAAAGGAAACGCAAAAGAAAAGAAAATGCAATCGCGAAAGGGACAAGCAAGAAGAAAAGAAGCAAAACTACCAAGGAGACAAAAAAAAACTAGTTCTCCATTTCTTCTTCATCATCGGTAGTTCGGGAGCTGGCGGGGACGACAAAGATCTCAACAGAGAACGGCATGTGATCATTTAGCAGATTTATGAGAGAGAGGTTTGGGTTGGCCCAATCCTCCAAACGACGAACACTCTCATTGTACGAATACGTACTCTTAATCACACGAGGAACAGGGCGGTTAGTGTTGGGTCAGTTGTTGGACGTGTCACCGACTCCACAACAGTAACCGGGTTGTAATTGGACATTATCAACCCTTCAGATACTATCATAAAATGAAGTGGCAAAATTAGCTACATAATAACTTGTATATAATCAAAAAAAAAAAAAAAAAAAAAACTCACCAAGCTTCTCATAAGAGGTATTTAACTGAGTGGCGAATGCTTCAACATTCAACCCCTTGCCCATCACCATGTCCTCGTTGTAAATGTTCTCAAAAACGTACTTGTACAAAATGTACTTGAGCTTCGGGAACTTGTGATTTTTCTCCAAATCACGGACTCGAATTTTTGTGGCCGTTGTGCCGATGATGTTTCCATCATCATCCAAGGTGGGAAGAGGTCGGGCACTATCGACACTCAAACGAATACTTGAAAAAGCCCTTGTGCTATGATCAAACGTGTACGCTGTCACGTTCAATGGGCCTATATAGAAGTGTTAGATTTGTTAGGATAATAGAAACATTTAGAATATTTACCTGTCAGGTGGTGGCGGCTTCCTACATCACAGTACCGGATGAAATAGTAAATCATCGCAGGATTCGACACATAAAGCTTGACTCTCATGCCAGAGTCAATGGCTTTGGCCTCTAACATAACGTTTCGAGCTGTTACTCGAAATGTGGGAGCACTGGTAATAGTGCAATCGGTGAGTTCTCCAAGAAGCATGTTGTAAATTTGTAATAGTTATAAAAATAATATGGTTCAATTTTTCTTAAGTATACTTGCTTATATACCCGTAAGCATTTTATAAATATGGAAAGTTATTCCATTAATCGAAATTATCGCAAATAAAATACAAAATTCACGAGAATCGATGATGTAACTCATGAATTATGTATAATAGATTAAGAATTGATAAAACCACGGGAATCGCATCAGATGATACTGTCAATCAGTCAAACACATATGCGTACGTTGGTGTCCTATGTGTCAGGTACAATATATTCTGTCAAACAGTAGTTCAGTATATAAAATTTTCTCTTCTCTATTTTGTTTAATAATACAGAAATATGTCTTCTAAAGTTTGCAGGATTTAGTTTAAAACCAATAAGGACCAAATTGCATATATTGCATGGTCCGAGCATGTTGGGTTTTTTTTATTAAAAATAAGGTATCACAAAGTCTCAAATAGCCTATAATACAATAAACATTACACAAATGCATTCAATGCATGTGCTACACATATGTATTACAACAGTACCGTGTCACTGTTATAGCACAATTATGTTGCCAAAAAAAAATCGACTTCGGTATTGGTTTATATATAATTCTAATGAAAGCGGAATAACACAGAATGGTGAAAACTTTCTATACGTACAGCAGAGGTGGTGTCGAAGAAAAAAAAAGTTGCCTGACATTTTATTTATGGACCCTAAACTCATTTCTATTATGACAATAAAAAACCTGATATCATTATCAATCTATCATACTATTATTTTATGCAAATAGTTAGCAGTCATTTTTGAAAAATTGGATTTTCAAAAAAAAAAACATGTGATGATGACAAAGTTGTGGACTTACAGAATTAAATTGTTTGTATCCGGCATCATGAAAGATGTTGGAAGTATCTGGTGATGACAATAAAAATTTAATTCTAAACGCACGTGTACGGAAGCTCAATAAAAACCTTACACAATAAACACGCATGTAATACAATGCAATTGACCATAGACCTTTACGTATTATATAACACACATGTATTGACAAAGGAAAAAACAGCTACAATATAATTTTTAAAATATGCAATCCATTGTTTCCACGTTTGTAGGGCTCCTGTTTCCCCATACATTGCGAGTGGATGAAGAGAAGGGGAACGTTTATTTTTTGCTTTATGAAGCATACTTTGGGTAATGTATAAAACTTTGGGTGTTTAATTAAACATTATAAACTTGGTTTAAAACTGACCAAGTTTTTTTCCGCTTACGTATCTAAAAAGACGTTACAGTGTAAAGGTGATCGGACCAAAAAATGTAATAGAGGACTCTTTCAAAGCTTATAATTCTTCATGGGATATCAAATATTTAAAGGAAAAAAAGGATCCCATTCTCATGGTTGCAACTGGCAACATGGACCAGCAACCAACGGTTTCTGGGTTTTTAGGAAGGGCTGTAGAAGAGAAATTTCATTTGGCAGTTATTGCACTAAGAATAATGCCATGTATTCCATTGGTTACAGAGACTTTGAAAGATATGGTTCATCCAGACATAGGCCCCGTACAAATTACCAAAGGTGTTAGAGAAGGATATTTTTATGTAAATCTGTCACTAAATCAAGATTTTACGAATGGCCCTGAATTTTACGCTTCTAATACAGTGGATGAAGAGCTTGGTAAAATTTAGTTAAAATAGTGTCTGCACAAAATTTAATTAAACTTCTAATGTTGCATTTTATCAGATGATTTTGAATTAGAAATTCTTGAAAGGGATCAGAGAAGATCAGGCAAAGTACATGATGACGAAGACGAAATTGAAGAAAATACAACCAACAGCAATACAAAAAGCAGGACAAATAACCAGAATTTCGATGAAGATGATGATGAAAATGAACCATTTTTCCCAGAAAATTATAACTATGACAATGCACGAAGATTTTCGGAATCCACTGCTGCTTCTTTGCAGTCGACAAATTTAAAAGGACCCATTGAAAAGCCATTGACAGAAGATGAAATTTTTGTAGAAAATGTGATGACTGAATTAAATAATGAGAAGGGACTATTAGCAGATCACATACAAAAAAATAACAGGGACATTATCGAACTGGATTTGTCATGAACCGCTTAGGTTTCAGTTGTATATTATCATGCAAAATGTCTCAGATCATTATTGAAACCCAACTAGCCCATTGTCCCTGTTCCACCTGTTCCACCTGTTCCCTGTTCTATGTCTCCTGTCACACATGTCACTGTCAAACATCACTATTGTATCCTGTCTAACGTCTCTGTTCCAAATAATGTATCTCCGTTATCCCTTGTCCTTGTCAAACCCATTTAACACCCGTTTCCTTTGTACCTCTGCCTTTGAACTCCCTTGTAAAACATTAATAATATCAGCCCATGTTATCCTCTGCATCTATCCCCGAAATTATCTGTATCTATGCCCGCTTCCCCAAAGATGTCCCAAACTCAATATGACTAATAATCTGTCTCTGTATATCTGATCCCCGAACCCTTGTTTACCCGACCTGTCAATTAATATAAATAACAGCATGTTTATTTATTCTTATTTCTGTATTCAAGATCTTATCTATTTTTCCTGTTTCTTTGAATAAACCTTTTTTCTTCTACATTCCTTTTATATATATATTAATACTAATAGATATATAATTTTTCTTTGCCTCGTCCCTCACCTTAATAATCATTCTGTTCTGCTCTTGCCCCGCCCCGCTCCTGACAGGATTCTGAACTTGAAGAAGCTTCTGATCACAATTACGGTGAAGATTCTGGAGGTGACCAATAATAATACATATCCACATATATTACAAAAACTTGAGCCCTGTGTTAATACGTATATTTTTATTTTTAACCTTCATCAAAAAACATTTAGACGATAGTGATTGCTCCAATCAAACAATAACAGCGTCAAACCGAACCTCTGAAATAACACCCGCTAAAACCGTAGAGAAAGCACCCAAGAATACTGTTAATAGAATAGCATCTAATTTCACTGAGGCCGAATCTTCAAGAGCATTCAACTGTAAGTATTAAAAATTATAAATAAAGCACCTCATTTTTAATGAGAAAACTGTTTACATAATTATTCATCCGTACATTTCAAAGTTTTGGTTAGACAGGATAGTTTTTCGGACTCGCCTTGTATGCAAAGTTTTAGGGGAATGACATTGGATGACGACAATACGATTTCCAAAGAAAACAGCAAGGGGAAACAAAAGATGGATTTCAGAGTAAATATGGAAACCTTAGGAAACAGTGACTTTAGGTATGATGTATCATTCAATATATTTAACTCCTTCAGTAAGATTTGACAATCATATGTTATTTTGACGTAGAGAGCCATCGATAATGTCTGATATATCTATGACATCGGATAATCACCAGAATGAAAACGAAAACAGTATAAATTCAGATGCTGAAAGTGCTAGTAAGATTCCCCTTTACATTTACCTGAATAAAATGCTGGTTATTCAAATTGTCAGTTACCAAATTATCTTTATAAATAGTTACTTCAGTTTCTGTGTACAGTCAAGAAAGCGGAGGGTCAAATTCCAGAAAACGAATGAGTAGATCTTTTGATCCGAACAGCCAAGAAGACGTTGTAAGTTTGTAGAATACAACAGTCTAAAGCAATTATCGATACTTACATTCTTATCAATAGGGAAAACGAATAAAGTCAACTGAAACAATTAATGATGAAAGAACCATAGTTCGAAATGCTGTCGAAATGCGAGGAAGAGGAAGACCTAAAAAAGCTATTTCAGCTGAGCAAGTTGACTTACCAGAAAAACCAAGAAGGGGAAGAGGGCGTCCATCAAAGTCGGCTCATAATGAAAACCAAGGAACAATACATACTTTCTTTTCTTCTATTCCAAAAAAAATGGATTGACAAACTATGATGTTATACTTACAACAAAATTATGCGCCACATAAACATTATCTAATTTTGTAACGCAAAAAAAAAAAAAAAAAAAAAAAACTAATGGCTTATGCCTGATTCAAAAATAATACTTGTATATATAACATACCTTTGAATATATATATATATAAGTATTACATTGATAAGATTATAGACAGTAATTAGCCAAGTGACAATAATCAGCATACTTCTGCTATTAATCATAATAACTATATTTGTTTCGGCAAACCGATTTAGCATCTCTAGCATTGCTACATGTTCACCATCTTTTTTTTTTTTTTTGCTCGGGAGCATGAATTATCAAGCGTCTAGGGGGTGTGGGTTTAAAAAAGGAACATCTTCTGAAAAAAGATCATAATTTAACCAAGAAAATGTTGATAAGAGTTGATAAGAGTTGGTAAGATTCATTACAAGCAATTTTTGTATCATAACCTTGATGTATTGCTAGCATTAAAAGTAGGGTAATTATACGGACACCGTTTTTTTTGGTGTAAAAATAATTAGGGACACCGTTTTTTTTTCCGGGCCGGACTTTTTTTTTTTTTTTTTTTTTTTTCACTGTAAAATATTTTCAGGGACACCGTTTTTTTTTTACGGACACCGTTTTTTTTTTACGGACACCGTTTTTTTTTTTTACGGACAACGTTTTTTTAAGGGCACCGTTTTTTGAGGACACGGACATCGTCTATTAATGAGTAAAGGGATAAATAATATTAGTAAACATGGTAGAACGAAGAAAACAAATAATGGTTTTTAGGAAGGATAATATATATTTGAGTTATAAAATGATGGAAAAGAGAAAAAAAAAAAGTTAAATATTTTGATAAAAATCAGAAAAATCGCTTGTGCAGATATCCCTGTGAACTGTCATAGCTTTTTTGTGAACGGGACTAATGTCGGGCCAATGCTCATAGGCAATTGGCTTGTTGTTTTTGATGTTGCTTTTGCGTTCTAAAAGATAAAAGTGGAAGTTACTCAAGAAGATGATGATCGGGTTAGTCAAATGTTGAGTGTCTAACTCGAAAAAAGGAACAAAAGTTTGTCTCGACTTGTTGTATACAACATTTCCTTCAGTCGTCATATTCAATACCAGTTTTTTTAAAGATCCTAGGTGATGAGCTTAAGAGGACCACTGGTCGTTTAAATGTGTCTGCGGACGAGTTGTGGGCAACCAATAGTATCAAACCACATGAAATGATCCTCAGAATCGAGACACGGAGACTTGTTCGTATTCAATTTCGTTTCGAAATACTTGATATCCAGCTCGATAGTTCTATAAACGCTTTGGTAGGAACGGAGAGTATTGAGCATTGATTTTTTTACCTGGACCCAACCCTCTTCATGACCGAACAATGCAAGGCTCACTGCTCTGAACCCGCAGTTGCCATCACCTTGGGGATTGACAAGGGCTAAAGCCTGGTCAGCAGTCCAATGGATGTAACTGTTGGAGCAAACCAGGATTACTATCAACGGTATCTATATGCGTGTTGTTGTATCTTTTATGACAGCAACCGGTTAATCTTAAGATATTTTTTTGTTGTTGTAATAGAACAAACTTACTTCACGGAGACGTTTCTTAAGAGGCTGGTTGCCACACTTGGTTTAGTCTTTGTTTTTTTTTCTTGCTTTTTAGGTTGTTTATTCTTTGGTAGGTCAAGAATTTCATCAGCCTTCCGTTTCTTAGACTCTTGTTTGATGGCATGGTCTTCGTGTTCTATTCCCAACTTTTCTCTCTTGGTGCTCTTTGGTCGGCCCTTCTGAGAAATAACAGTTGCTGGAGGAAGGGCTGACTCCACAGATGACTTACCTACAAGCTCATTGTATAATTCGTCAATTCTTTGATAACGTCTTCCGATTCTTGTTGGCTACTGGCGGTTTTCAACAGCAAAGAAAATCTTTCAAATCTCAACATCAAACGACCTTGAGGGCTGTTTGGGTCGTCACTACAAACTGGTGGTGGCTCCGGTTTATCTTGTTGAACCTCGGCAATGGTGGCAACTAGATGTTTGGAGCTCATTATTCATAAACTTAAATAAAAATAAAAATCTTACCACTTCCTTTGATGTAATATATTCTCCATCGTTTGGAAATTGCTTTCAGAGGGATGACATTATTGTTTTCCAAAAGCAGCTTAGCTAAGGAATGTCTACATGGAAGATTGTAGTTTCTTCTTAAAGAGCAAAGGCAAGGTTTTTCTCCAGGAATGACATGACTCTTGTGGTTTTTGTCTTCGCTATCCAATCTCATTTCCACAAGCTCCGACTTTATGTTCTCAAGGGCAAAGCTAGTAACATTCATTTTTATAAGGCTGATTTTGGCCATGATGTCAGAATCAAGTAGCATTGTTTGCTGTGACAATGCTTCTCTCGTAGACTGTAAATCTCGGTACTTCCTCCTACATATGATAGTTAGTTTATGATAATCAAATGATTTTGCGAATACTGAGAATAAAATGTTAAATTAATTTACTCGTTTCTGGGTCCATGCGCTGATCTTGTCAGTTACTACAGATATACCTCCGGAAGAAGTATGCGCGTGACGCTTAATATTAGCGTGGGTTGCTTCAACTCTGTTGGAAGTTCGATTACCCATGTGCATGAGTGCATTCACATGGTAGCCTGCCCAAAATCTAGCTTTTTTCATCATGCTAAAGAAAATAGTTTAGTTGATTTTTGACAGAACATTAAATATTTCCATAAGCATAAATGAAATTAAAATGACTACATACAATTCCAAGTACTTTCGCATAATAATAGCACCATCTTTAGTGCAAAGGTCGGGCCGAGACACAAAAGCATCATACTCTGCTTTTGCAGCTTTGAATTGTTCCAAAGTGGAGCAAACAAAAGCCATCTTCTGAACAATCTTTAAAAAACTGCGAACTTCAAGTTGCATTTCAGGATCTATTTGATTGTAGTTTGAGTTAGTCTAAAGAATACATTGAATCTGGCTGGCATAATAGCTTACTGTTTGCTTTTACTTTCGATGTTAAATTTTTTTTAAACCGAAGAAGAAAATTACGTTGAATATGTATCCAACAAAGGATCTGCTTACTGTTAGGAAAAACAGATTTTATGGCTTTTAACAAAGCCTCTTCGTTATCGGTAACGAAACACTTGGGTAACAAATTTTCATTTGTGCCAATAGGCCACACAATATCTCTAAAACATTGTAGAGCCCATTGGTATCTCTCCGCTGTTTCTTTGTCCATCCAACAGCCGGCAATAGGAACGGTTGTTAGCTGTTTTGGCTTTTCTTTCGAACGCAAAGCACCAGCAACAACGAAATTTAATAAGACCATCTTATGTGAATTTGTCTTATAAGTAGCATCAATAATTATGCACTCTGGCAGTCTACGAGCTTCTTCGATGCCGTGTTCATGGATGAAAAAAATCGATTGTATTCTATTGTCTTCATTTGTCAAATATCTAACATGATGATTTGTTGTTTCCAAGCGTCTTATAAAATCCCACATAAAGATGCTATCATCTCTGCAGAATCGTTGTTGAATGTTCGTGAGATCTGTAACAGTAACATTACAAACGTCTCTTGTTCTCAACATCTATAGACAAAATAGCAATTTAACATTTTATATTCAACTGCAAGTATCGTCTTATTTTGTAAGTTGTTCTACGGTTTACGTATAATATTTCTTTATTTAAACTAAAAGAGATCACAAACAATACTAACTCCTTACAAAACCCACTATTTATTTTTAAATCCCTTACCTCCAAGACTGCACTGGGAGTGCTTCCACTTTGCATCATCTTGATCGCAAATTCCTGGTCTTCAGCTTCCAATTTTCTGTTAACGTGGTACATCTTGCGGTTATTGCTGACAGGATGCGTATGCTCAAAGCACGTCTTACTCACAAACCAGCGATTCTCCACGTCCTTCAAATCCATCTTTAGGTGGATGAAGGCTGTACACCCAACCTTACCTGTCTTTCGGTTGGGTCTCTTGAATCCACCCTCATCATCATTGCCGTCTTCTATTTTTCACTTTGTTACTATAATTATAAGATCACTGAAGTTGAAAAATACATACTTTCTACACCTCTGGTGCTGCGATAATCTCCAAAGTGCTTGCATACAAGTTTGATATAGACTTTGTCGCTTCTCAAAGTTTCGAATGGGATGTTTTGAGCCTTGCAAAACTCTTGAATTTCCGCTCTTGCAGAATTCTTATCGGCAAATGTCTTCTTTTTTGGAAACTCTTTCTCGAAAGCCTCCTTCATACCAACAACAGCTTCACTGCTACCAACAGTCTCTTCGAAAGATGGGACTGGAAAATCAGTCTCATAGCTTCCTTCTTCATCAGCTTCTACTTCCTCTTCTTCAACATTACTGACCGTGTTCCAGTCAAACTCGTCCATAAGACCTGTTTTGACAGGAGCGTCTTCGCGTTCTTTCTTGCTAACATTGGTAGACATTTCTTCAAAGCCATCGTTAATGTTCTCCTCATCGTTATACTCGGAAAGAAGTGCTTGAATAAGCAGTTCAGTTTCGTTCAACATTTCTTCGGTCATTTCAGTCATTGTGAAATCGTGTTTAATAATAAAAAAAGAAAAAAAAAAAAAAAAAACGGTGTCCGTAAAAAAAAAACGGTGTCCCTGAAAATATTTTACAGTGAAAAAAAAAAAAAAAAAAAAAAGTCCGGCCCGGAAAAAAAAACGGTGTCCCTAATTATTTTTACACCAAAAAAAACGGTGTCCGTATAATTACCCTAAAAGTATATTGCTAGTTATAAGCTTGCCTTT